TAGCATCACATTTTAACTCTTTAGAAAATGACTCAGTACTCTCATTTTCATTAGTAAATGGTTCCCTAACCATACTAGGGTATTCTTCCTCTGATAAATAGTGCCTTCCCGCCATAATAGACTGGAAGTGAGGCTTTCCTAAATAAAAAAAAAGGGAACGGAAATATATCTGAAGGCAATGCAAAATGTAAAAAAAACTCCGCACAGTAATCCTAAAAGACCGTACATAGTAGAGGAAAAAAATAGAATAAAAAAAAGGAATTGGATATAAATCAGATATGAGAATGTTTTCATTAGCATGCAGCGATTTAAAGAGCTCACCTCTGTTTAAGCTTTCCCTCCATTCCGCCCCGCCCCGCCCCGCACCCTCGAACAGCTGATGAGTAAAATACCAAAGTCAAGCAGAATATATCAAACTCAAGGTCAGGAACCTAAAACTGTGTTCATTTCAAAAGTAATGGACACAGGATGCCATCCAGTGGCCTTCAGAAAAACATTCCACCTTAAAATGCATATACACATCACCCGTCCTCTGAATGCGATCTTTACTGATGCGTGGATGGGACGCCCGGTTGTGAGAGTTATTCTTAGGGAATGCGTATATGGGACACGCGTCCTGAAAGGGTTAAATTGCATTGGATAGCGGTCAAAATTGATATTTTCGTTAATTACGATACCCGAAATTTTTCACAATTACAAAACTTAATGCAATCAATTTTATGATTTGGGATTTACTAAGGGAAGAATCAATTCTTCAAGATAACGGTATACTTTACAAAGACTGTGTTTGAATGAACCCCTTATGATATTAAACTACAACTCAAAGACGAAATGGGTATGCAGCCTCCATTCATACAGAAAAGTAAAAGTTATCTGCACACAAATGTAGCTGTATCGCATTTCCTTTCATTACTGCTGTATGATTCCTTTACTTATGGGTCACCTGAATTTCTCAAACTATAGCTTTAAAGAAATCACTACACAAAAGTTGATTGAAATAATTATAAACAATTGGTTATTGTATATACCTTGTAAGCACGCCTTAATGTTAAATCTCGTAGATGCAATAAAATTATGAAAATTGCCAAAATTAAAATCAAGTTTTCCGCATTACATACAGAGGAAACCACAAAAACTCCAATGCAGCCAACCCAATCACCATGATTCAAAGTTGTGCTACAACCAATGCTTAGTATCTTCACTAGCTAGCAGGTTCAGCCACTAGCGAGCCCTGGGAGTGACGAAAGCTTGTTCATAAAATGAAATAAATACAGGTATGTTCTTTCCCCACAAAAGTTTTTGGAAGACTATGTCATTATTTCCTTGCTACTGCTCACTGTCATTTCATGAAATCTTTCATGTTTGCAACAGAAGAGATAGTTTCATCCACAACAATCATATTTTTTGACTGTGGGAGTGGATATAATCTTTCAACTTGCAAACTGCCAGGTACAAATATTTCACAGTGAATCAGTTACTAACAGAAATTAGTGGAAGCGTTTAGTGGAAGGGAGTTATAATAGGCACTTCAAAGTCTTTTTCACTCTCCCTCATTTACAAATGAAATACACATCACCATCACCAAAGAACACTTCTCCACCCCATTTAAACTATAATTCAAGTCAGCCTTCATTAGCATGGTTTCATGAAGCAAAACAAGATAAACAGAAATGAAATGAGGTGACTCGACCATCGAAAACAATTAGGTGACACAACTATCTGCTGTAGCTGTCATTACCGTGGTTAGAAAGCAAGATGGGTTGGGGGAAATGACTGGAATGCCTATTATACACTAAAACAACGTTATGAACCAAAGACATAACAAAAGAAATAGGCCAAAATGTCCAATATAATGATGAAAACATATGGTATGGTATTAATGGAAGAGTACCTAAATAAAGAAGCCTCACTGCATTTGTCTGACTGCATGCATAATTTTAAATATGCTTGTACTTGAGAATTATATTATAAATGGATACAACACGAAATTTAGTAAATAAGTTGCAAGAAAAAGAGAAAAACTTCACTTTAGAAATAAAAACTAATGATCAGCATTTTGAATAAAATTAAACAATGTTTCTTAAATTTCCCATTAAATAGTTAATTACTTATACAGTTCACAATGTAAAATAATTACAGACTCTTCCGATGGTAATATTGATTTGCTTGCCAACATAGGAATATAAAGTGTACAATCATATTTGTATGTATAGATACAAATACCCTACAGAATAAGGTATATTAATCTAAAAATTTGCACTTTCATGAAAAGTTTAAAAATTTACTGTATCCAGTTAACTCTTCAACAATGCACATTTTAACAGCATAGCTACATATATGCATGGATTCTTTCCAACAAGTAATGGAAAATTTTTGAAGATTTATGACGGTTTCAAAAGCTAATAGATAATCTTCATAACTTTGTAATTTAAATATATCATGACTTCATGAAATATATGTAGATTAGCAGTCAAGCCTGCCAGAACAGCGGCCTGTGACCAAAGCAAAAACAGTTCTATGTACACCTGAAAAGAAAAACGTATGAAAACATTTTAATATGGATGAAATCAATCAGTTCATTCTACCCAAGCAACAACCAATTTGTAAATATTTTTTGTTGCCAAACCAGGAAACAAAAACTTTTAAACACTTCAGGTATGCATATTTTATCATAATTTAAATTTAATGTAATATAACAATTTTTTCTCAATAGGAATAAAAGAATTAACATAGCACTAACATAACATCTCAATTAGCCTAACCTGAAACAAAAAAATTTGCCAACAGCAGCTATTCATTATTTAATGAAAAATTTTCGACATACCATGCACGATATCATATGTAATCGTGTGCTTTCTTCAACATGAGAATATGACCTTGATTTTTACCTCCAGCAAGCGAGACTGTTGCCACTCGGACAAATGAGTGCAAAAATTAACATTTTCAGAGCTCTTAATTAATAACTTGGCTGATTAAAGTCGTATGAAGATGAGAACGATTGAAATGGCTTCTCACGAATTTTTGGAATCCAGGGTTAGCTGTCCCATTAACTCAAATCCCTGCTGTTTCAGAGGAGAGGATGTCACAAACTAGCAGACAGATGCACAGATTTCAATAGCATAGAACAGCAGGCAAGCCCGCCAGATCAGCGGGCTGCAGCCAAAGCAAAATTTATAAGTTCTATGTACACTTGAAAAGAAAATATATTAAAACATTTCAATATGAATGAAATCAATTGATTCTTTCCATGCAACAATGAATTGTAAATAATGTTTTGTTGCCAAACCAGTAATCAAAAAATTTTTACACTTCAAGTATGCTTATGATGTCATGGTTTAAATTTAATGTAATATAAAAACATTTTTTCAATATCAATAAAAGAATTAATGCTGCAATAACATATCATGTCAATTATCCTAACCCTAAAAAAAAAAGTTGCTAACAGCAGTGTTTTATTTAAAATGGTGACATTAATGAAAAATTTTCGACATACGATGACAGCAGATTGCTATGGCATGCTTTAACGTCAGAATATAACTTTAGGATTTGTGAAGAAGTAGCAACACTTTTCAAAACAAAACACATTTTTATCTCCAGCAGCCAAAACTGTTGCCACTTGAAAAATGAGTGCAAAAATTAGTGTTTTTAGAGTTAATCAATATCTCCACTGATTAAAGTCATACAAAGATGAGAATGGTCAAAATGGCTTCCAACGAATTTTGGAATTTGGAATAATATATCTAATGTTTGGCAATAATGTCTTTATTTCAAATTTTGTAAAACATACAACATTTTTATTAACAAACTCTAGGATTTAAAGAAAGTGAGCAGTGGCAACATTTTTCGAATTGCCATTCAGAAAAATGAATGCAAAAATGAGCGTTTTCAGAGTTTTTAATTAATATCTTGGCTGATGAATGGTGTACAAAGATTAGAATGGTCAAAATGGCTTCCTACAAATTTTTGGAATCCAAGGGTACCTCTCTTGAAAACTCAACTTTCCGCCATTCCGGAGGACACGATGTCACAAACAGGAATGCACAGATTTTAATAGTATGGATTCTATATATGTACATTCCAGTCCATTTTACTACATACATACAAAAATGTATCACACACACTTTTCATTTTTGGGATCTAGTACTAGCAATAATTTATTACAGCATTTGATATTATATTAGTATTAATAGAGTAACATCTACTATGTTTTGTACCATATTCTGCAATATTAATGCAGGAATCGATTTAAAAAATTGTTTTATCTTGCGAACAATGGATGCAACAAAAGATGAAACTGGCGAGGTTAAAATTCAAATTAATTGATTAATGCAAAGCGACTTGATGGCTATCTCCCTATGGGAAGGGATACCTTTCCAGAGGAGTTTTTATGGGAAACTGGCTCATATTTACATTAAGATGCAAGTTTTCATCTATTTTCTTTGCAAGATATAAAAAAAAATACATTACACAGATTTCATATGTATGTACAAGTGTGATATGAGGAATTCTGTATCTTACTGTGGAATGAAACACTTCTGTAAGCTGAAATTTTTGTATGGATTTTTATGGATACCAATGCTTTTATCAGAACCCAGATGAATGTTTTTCAGTTTAGAGCCACATAAAACATTTCACAACAGAGCTCAAATTTAATTTGTATTGCTTATGTTACCAGTAAGATATCCCATTATCAGTAGTATCAATAATATTATTAGTAATAATGCTTTTGAGAAGTCGAAAGCTACACCACAATTTTCAATATTGCAAGGGTTTAACATCTCTAATCCTTGCGCTGTTCAAGGACCAATTGTATTAATAAAAATAAATTAAATTATTTACAATAATCAAGATATATTAACCAAAAATTTGTGTTTTTAAAAAGAAAGTAAATTAAGACACTATTTAGAAGAATACTTACAGATAAACAACTATCTGAATTATCAAATATTATTATTTAAGAATATTAATATGTCAAGACATTTACTTAGTAGAATACTTACAGGTAAACGATTATCTGAATTATCAAATATTATTTCAACATATGCATTCAGAACTCGTGGGCCAGTTCCTTCATGAAGGAGAGCTTGGCGCTGCTCAGGCCGAAGATGAGAAAATTCATCACTTAACACGAACTGAATAGCTAAAAGTAATTTTAAAAAAATTAAACACAGAATTTTACAAGAAATCATTAAGTACAATATTTTTAGTACTAAAAACATAGTAAGATCCTCTCTCTAATAGTTTAAAATTTGAGCATAAGTAAAATATCTTATAACATAATTCAATTAATGATATCCAAACTTAAAGAGATCCTTGAAACCCTATAAAAGGCCATTTTCTTAGTGAAGAAATATAAAAATATATTTATAGGTTAAGTCTGAATTGTATAATCATCACCATAATTTTAATAATGAGTCAAAAGCTTCATATGATTACAAATTTAATTATAGTTCTAAAAGTTCTTATGTCAGAAGCACAATAATTGCCTATTTTAAACAGATACAGCAATACAGCATTTATATAATTAATCAAAATTGTTTGAGATTCTAATCAGCGAGTCTTACTTGAAATTCTTTAAAATCTTAATTGAAAATGAAATTAACCTGGAATATTTAAGCATGTTACTAATTGAATTAATAAATACGAGGGTTGGGGCAAAAGTCATGGCAACTATTTTTTTTCTTGTAGATATGTGAAAGGATCACAAAATGTATATGTGTCGTGTGGAAGTTTTGCAGGCATAGTGTGTATGCAGAACAAAAGATGGCTCTGTGGTAGCGAGGGATCTGAAATCAATCAGTTGGTGAATGGCATACGAGATGGAAGTAACCCGTGTTGAGCAGCGCGCTTACATCAAAATAGTCGTTCTCTGAGGGGAAAATGCAATGGAATGTCACAGTGAATTAGTAGAACCCTTGGGAATAATGCCCTACCATATTGTACAGTAGCACGGTGGGTAGGAAAGTTTCAGCAAGGACGTGTGTCAACCAGTGATCAACGTTCGAGATGACTGGTGTGTGCGGACTGACTTGGCACGTGCTGTCATCGAGCACCTCATGGATGAAGACAGACGATGGACACTACTGGAGTTAGAGAGGGCAAGTGGCATCGAGAAACGCACCGTCCACAGGATATGGCGTAATGAGCTAGCGTCAGAATCCTTCCCCAGTCAAATTGATGGTGATCGTCGCGTATGGCGTCAGGGGTGTCATTGTTTGCCACTTTGTTCCTCATGGCAGAACATTGACTGCACAGTACTAAAGAGACTTCCTGGTGCGACAGGTACGACATGGCGTTCGGGATAAACGTCCGGATCTTGTTGACAGTACAATAATTCTGCACGACAATGCAAACCACATAAAGCAGAGTGTGTACGGCAGCTACTCCGACGTTGGGGATGGGAAGAATTGGAGCACCTACCGTGCTCTCCTGACCTTTCACCCTGTGACTTTGATCTCATTCCCAAAATTAAAGAACCAATACGTGGTAGGCCATTACTAATGTTACTGTGCGCCAACAGATGACCCGATTCACACATGGCCCGGCAAATGCTGAGACTGATGGTATTCAGCGCCTCTCACGTAGTTGGCAGCATTTGGTGACAGCAGGGGACTACATTGAGGATCTTTAGGCCCAGGTTTGCCATGTCAACTTCACGTGTATTGTGTTATCATTCTTTTGCACGGTGAAGGCTATATTGTCCTGTATACTACCATAATAAATTCGTGTGTTACAATATTTCAGTGCTATTCATTGTCCACACATGTAGTTAAGACCTTGTCCTTTCGTCTGTATATGTCACATTTTTCAACCAGACTGGTATCTTCAAAAAAAAAAAAGTTGCCATGACTTTTGCCCCAACCTACGTATATACATAAAAATATACTAATAACTTAACTTTGCATTTGAAAAAAAATTCATAAAAAAGCATTTTATGCATAGTCCAAGGGATTTAATATGAGGACTTTGCTGAAATGTAAACAAAAGATCTGACCCTTTAACCCTTTGAGGTTCGGTGCATTAAAAAAAAATTTTTTTTTTGGGAAAAAATAACTTTACACATAGATAATTAGCCCCTCATACCCTAATGTTATTTTATGGAAAAAAAAGCAGGTAAAACTTTAAGGTATTTCATGACATGGTGGGATACCACTTGTCCCACCGTGTATCTAGAGCAGTAAAATGGCATCTTTGCCTCAGCATAAATTCTCCTAACATGCTTATCTAAATAGCTAGTTTTAGCAACCAAATGAAAATGCAAGATACAAAAACAGTTTTTGAATAATTATTTAGATAATACTGATCATATTCGCAAAATAAAAAAAATAACAATGTTTTAAAAAAATCACCCTTTGTACGACTTTTTAGATATTTTTTAATGATTTCATAACAGATTTGAAACAGAGAAGACTTTCGCTCCAGTACTTTATTTGCTACAGATCTGAAAAGGAACATATTTAGAAGGCTGTCATGTGTATTTACATTTCACCTCTGTTTCCTCTGCTTACGATATTTTTCTATGGTGAATCACACTAACATATCCATTCAGTATTTAATGACATTTCATGTTACAGAGTTATATTTACATTTCTTTCGGAAAAAATACTATATGTTTTTCAAGTTTTAACATTATTGCAATTTATTAAAAAATATAAATTTGCACTATCAACATATAAAATGAACATGATAGTTGAATTTTAAAATATTTGAACGGTGCTATACCATCTAGTAGCAGCAATTCCTACATGCACGGTGGGATGTATTTGGTCCCAATTTCAACTATTCTTAATTAATATATATGAATTCAAATAGTAATTTTTATTAGAAAAGGACACTTTCACATAAAAATGTTCATTCTAACACCAAAAGTTGTTGTTCAGATGATTTAAATTGCATTAGAAATAAGGAAAAGAAACTGCTTCAAAATTAGACCTTCAAAGAATTTTTATTTTACATTATTTCCAAGAATGAATACTAGTGCTGCCATCTGTTATACATTTAGAGAACTAAAAGGTGTAATTGTATGTACTTTAAATGGAATTTTTCAGTTTTCATCTAGGAGATAATAACCCGCCCCACCACCCATCAAAAGGTTAAACAATAGAAGCTTAGAACTACTTTTAACTTACTTCTACAGAAAATTTTTTCAGGGAATTTACTTTTAAATGCTTGCAAAAAATCAAATTTTAATAAAAACACATAAGCTAATTGATTTTTTTATTTATTTAAAGATACTTGAGCCTTTAAGGTTTAAATAGATAGATAGCTGCATATTTTTTTAGTTTCAACAAAAAAGTCCCCTCCTAGCAGAACATAAATTCAGAATTCTCTAATTTTTAAATTAATACAACACAAATATACTTGTTCCAACAAATGAATTCCAGACATAACTTGTGCTTATCTCAAATGAAACTATAAAATAATAAATACATATTTTTATAAATTTTCTCTTACTATATGGTAACTGAGTAATAAAAAGAACAGCAAACTTTATTATTCTATTTTAATGCTCAATACAAAATAGCAACAAAAATTTTAGAATAATTGTCCTAACCTAAATTGTGCTCAAATTTTTTATAGTTAAAACTGTTTAATTCAATTTTCAATTTGCATTATAAATTTGAAAAATGCTTCCAAAAAATTGAATTATAAAAACTTAAAATCATCTTTTATTTTCTCATATTAATAGTTTACTTGCTTAATTATATATATGTTTTTGGTACATTTACAGGTGTAATATAAGAAATCTTACATTCAAATACACTGACTGAAAAGATTTAGAACTTTGGAACAAGTAAAAGAATAAAATGAATGAAATTACTTACCATAAAAGAAATTGCTCTTGCCAGAACCATTTCTACCCACTAAAAAAAAAAAAAAGTATGTGAGGATACTTAAGTTTATTTCATTATAATTTTAAAATCTCAAAGCACGGCTGCTTTAGAAAGCTTTTAGCAATTTATAATAACTTGAAATAACTGAAGCCGCTTAACGTGATCATACATAAATTTGGTACACGAGGTAAGCAGCAAAAACCAATTCAACAAACCAAATGAAGGGGGATTGTATTAGTTTTTACTATTTTCTTTGTAAGTGCTACAATTTAAAATAGAAAATATTCAGTAATGAGATTTTTTCTTTTTACATTTTAAAAATATAATTTAAATATTAAAGCATCTTTAACACAATAAACACTCTATAACAAAAATATCGATGCAAAAAGAAGGAATCATTTGATTGCTTTGAAATTTCATAAGCATAAATAATTTGACCAAATATGCAAATGATTAAAATTTGGTGTCCAATGAATGAATATTGCGATCTCCAGCACATCAAAACTGTGCATCCAGCAGATGCATATAAGGAGTTGTTCTTGAACTGTTAAAATTGCTGTTGCATTGCAATTTAGGATACCTTTCAACAACAAAAAAAATGCCTCGTGCAGAATTCAAGCTTATTACGAGCAACGGTCAGAATTTGAAAGAGGTTGTATCATTGGATTGAAAGAGGCAGGTTGGGCAAATCGGAGAATCGCTTGTCATGTGTGTCGAAGCGATGTGGAGATTAGAAGATGCTGGCAAGAATGGGTGGACAATGGCAAATTTCAGCGTAATAGTGGTAGCCGTCGACCTAGCCCCACAACAGATCGGGAGGACAGAGTGATTGTCAGATCAGCTGTCACAGCACCTGATTCATCGTTATCAACCATCAAACGCGCAATCCGTTACCATTCACAGATGGCTGATAGAGTCAAATCTACGCTCGTAACGAAGAAAATGACAGAGAAGTTGTTGAGAAAAGTTAAACTACTATCAATTGACAATTTAGTGGGAATTCCTAATGTGGAAATTACAGGACTTGCACAATGGAACTCTGTAACTGATCAAAAAATTATGTCAATCTATAGAATTAAAGAGAAAGTATCAGCACAAAAAATAAAGCAAAATAAACATTTTACATCAAAAGAAATATTTACTAAAGCAAACAATTTTTATTTCCTTAAAGTCATAAATACTTCATAAATCACTATTTTACATTCTTAAATTTCTACATGTTATCTTGATAGATTTAAAATCATGATCTAATACAGTCAAAAGTCTTTAATCCGGACTCAACGGGCGATTCCGGATTATCGGTTTTTCCGGATTATAGATCATCAGTTTAAATTTGGTAAGATGGCATGCAGAAATTATAAAATTAAAAATATGAAACCGTAATTTATGAAATAAAGAGCAATTATGATCTAAAGGATATCAAAATTTACAATTTATTTGTTTACTTTATTAAACATTTCTTTCAACGCGCACATGCGTAAAGCATACATTACGCATAGTCGAAATTAGAAAATTGCAACCAGAAAACTATTTGATGTGTATTCGTAATATTTATAATGACGAGCAATTTGATTTAAATCATATCAAAGACGGAGTACATCGAGATAAAATACTACATTTAGTAAGGAATTATAAGCCGAATAAAATAAAAACATCTGCCTGCCCTGAAGATAAGGATAGTGCTGACAGATAGAATTCCACTTCCTTGCGCGCCATGACCCCCCCCCTCGCAGAGCAGTGTGAAATGATAAACAGATTTTGGAATGCTTATAGAAGCAAAGGATATGCCTTTATCCATTTTTTTTAAGCAATTCCACTTTTTGTTTGATGGACATCGAAACATGCTTTCACTTTGTAGATCATTTGGCAGCTCCAGAATCGGAAATTCTTTTTGACATAATCGAAAGCTCAAGCTTACTTTTATAAAATTACTCTAACAGTCTGCAAAAAATAATAAGCTGGATTTAATTAGAAGATTAAGGAACAACACAATCTGCAACATTAACTGAAATAGATAGATAATTTTAGCTTAGCTTACACCGTCCGTTATACATTAAACGCGCATGCGTAAAAACATTACGCGTATGCGCATTCGTAGACGCATTATGCGTTTACGCATGCGCAGAAAGTTTGTAGCTTTGAGGTCCAGATTATAGATCATTCTGGATTATGGACGTCCGGATTAAAGACTTTTGACTGTATCTGAAAAAATTCCAAATTTGGAATTGCTAAAGTCCCAACGATTCCAGATCTCAGACTTCATATTGTATATATACATATAAGATAAAAAATACATAAATCAAAATTATAATTTACATTAGCAATAGCCTTTTAATTCAGACGAAGTTAGTTTTGGTTCTAAGTGCATTTTTTTGATTGGAGAATTAATACTGCTGTAAAATTATTATTGGCTGTGTTTCAACCGCCTTTTTTTTTTTTTTTTTTTTTTTTTTCTCCTTTATGTGTGTGTCTGGCGGGTGGGCGTGCGTGTGTATGTGTGAGTATGGGATTAGAATTAAGAATTAGAAAAAATAATGTTTGATTTCCTTAAGTGTAAAAGGTGTATGGAATAGGGGTTTTGGATTTTTTCTTAAGTGAGAAAACATAGGAAGAGAATTTGTTCTTTGTTAAAAGCTGCTTAACAACTCAAGAACTTTCAAACATGCTTGGGTTAAAAAAAAGACAGTTGTACGTTAATTTTAATTGGTAATAAGAAAATGAGGAAAGTTTGTGCTTGATTTGTGTCTCAAATTTTGACAGAACAGCAAAAGGAAGATATGAAGATTTGCCGACAACTACAAGACAGGACAACAATAAAGTGTACCAAAGTGAGAGATGAGACCTAGTGACTATAATACAGTCCAGGGATGGGCAAACATTTTCGGTCACGGGCCAAAAATCGAAAACAAAAAGTTTGGCGGGCCAAGATAAATTTTTCTAAAATTTTAAAAACAATCTACAAGTATTACAATGTAAATATGTTAACGCGATGAATAAAATTGCGATTTCATTTTTAAAAGTTCCTTATACTGAGGTTCGAAGAGAGACGTCTTGATTCTAAGGAACGAGGCTAAATGCTCATCTCTCAGTCTACTTCTAAAATAATTCTTTCTAAGGTTCATAGTTGAAAACATTTGTTCACATATATAAGATGAAGCAAACACAGCACTGATTTTCTGGGCATAAGATAGTAAATTTGGGAAACTCACTTTCGATAATGATTTGTAAAAGTCCAACTTTGACATATTTAGAAACAACTGCTTGAGATTATTGTTAGATTGCAACTCAGTTAATTCAAGCTGAAAATCTAACCTCGCTACTCCACAATTTACGTTGAAAAGCATGGTAAAAATATCGAATTCTGTTTGAATGGCACTGAAATTTTGAAATCTGTGTTCGAACACAAAATGCAGTTTTTTCAAGCCATCTTCATAATTCTTAAGCTTCTCTTCATTTACTGAGGGAATTGAATTTAACCTCAAGAAATGGGACAAGTTGTTTTTAGCTAACTGCACAGCAAACAGATTAAGTGTTAGTTTAAAAGCTTTGAGATGGGCCCAGATATTGTTGATAAGTTGATTTTTCCCTTTCATCTTGACATTCAAGTTGCTCATATGGTACAGAAGATCTGTGAAAAATGCAAAGTCTGAAAGCCATTCTGTATCTTCTAACATTTCGCACTCCACAGAACACTGTTTGTCATGGAAGAAAGACACAATGTCGTCTTTCAGCTGCCAAAGCTCGCTCAAAAACACATCTTGCACTAAGCCAATTTACTTTCATGTAATACAGTACATCAGAGTATTCAGATTGCACGAACTGAAGAAAATCTCGAAATTGCCTGCGAGTAAGCCCACAAGATCGAATAGTATTTATAAACTTCATGACTGCATCAAGCAAGGGTTTTACATTCAGTTGCAGAGCATCTTGATATATATCACAATGTAGAAAAACAACATTGTTCCCGGGTTAGTTTTGATTAAAGAGTCCAAATAATTCAGATTTTTTTCCTGTCATATTTGGAGCCCCATCTGTCGTAATATTACATATATTTGTTATAGGCACTTTCAAAGTTAAAAGCCCTTCCTGAAATTAATGAAAATATCACATCCTGTTGCAGTTTCCTTCAAAGAACGCATGCACGCCAGTTCCTCGGCAATTTTCCAAAATTCTCATCAACACCTCTTATAAATAATACTAATTGAGCATTATCATTTATATCAGTGCTTTCATCCATAGCTATTTAAATCAAAATTTAAACTGGCCAATCTTTGACTCTAATTGTGATGTCAAATTTTTATCGATGTCTACGACTCACCGTTTTTCTAGATAAACTCACAGTCTCAAACTTATTTTTCATGTCTGGACATAAAACATCACAAACTTGGAGCATGCATTCTTTAACGAACTCCCCATCACTGAGAGCTAATTTTTTGCAGTATTGTATGCTACAATGTAGCTTGCATGTAAAGCTGCTTCTTGGATACTGTTTACTTTCCTGAAAAAATTTTGTCGGCTTGATAATTTTTTACAGTCTTTCTGCATTTTGTTTTCTTTCATATTCGGACATTGCTTCGTAATTGGAAATTCTTATTACCTTCCTGAAAATATTTTGTTGGCTTGATAATTTTTCACAAAGTCTTTCTGCATTTTGTTTTCTTTCAAATTCGGACATTGCTTCGTAATTGGAATTCTTATGCTTAGATCTTAAATGATGTATACTTTGAAGACTGCTACAGCTCCATTGCATATAAGACACACTAGTTTATCTTTTATAACTGTAAAAAAATATATCCAGGTACATCTTTTATATTTGTAAAAAAATATATCCAGGTCCATTTATCATTAAAAGCACAGCACTCTGAATCAACTTTACGTTTTTTAGTTGCCATTTTTGGGGTTGAAATATTTTACAAATAACCCAACGAACTATAGCTACACTATATTTTTAAGAATTTCACCATTATTCACAATAATGCTATATATCGCTGGCTGGAGCTTAAAATGTACAGTCTGTCACATGTGCGGTC